GCTAACACACACTGCAACACACACACACACACACACACACACACACCAACACACACACACACACACACACACATTCGAAATAGACACAATAGGCACATATATGCGCTTGATCTGTTGATTTCATGTAGGATATGTTTGTGTGTGTGTCAGGTTGAGCTTGCGTCCTTACTGGCCCAGGCAGGGGTCACTCTGAGCGGGATGATACAGAGAGGTCAGGAGCTGGTGCACCGTCTACAAGAGCTTCAGCTGGACCGCAGAGAAACCGCCTGTCTCAAATACCTCATCCTCTTCAACCCTGGTGAGACGACAGCACACGAATATCAACTTAAACCTGAGAATTATGATTCTAAAATGGAGAGAATTTGTGAGAAAGTACTTAATTTTGCAAATAGGCCACTATTTGGGTTTAGTGTTCTTAAATAATGCAAGAAACCTTGACTAACATTATATGTGATTATTAACTTTTACCAAGTTTAATAATAACATTAACTCTTTAAGTAAAAAAAAAAATACTGGGAGAAATAATCTGCACATATAATGTTAGTCAAAGACTTCCATATGTAAATGAGCTTTGATAAAATTGGCTGATGTCTTTTTTTTTTTAACTACTAGGTTTGCATGGACATTCATTTACTCTATACAGTTCAAACCTTTGGGGATTTTTAAACTTTTTTTTAATTATTACAATTTAAAACAACTGTTTTCAAAATGAATATATTGCAAAGCAGAATTTTCAGCATCATTACTCCAGTCTTCAGTGACGATCCTTCAGAAATCATTCTAATATGCTGATTTGCTGCTCAAGAAACATTATATAACTTATTACTATTAATGTTGAAAGCAGTTGTGCTGCTTAATGTTTCTGGAAACCAATTGATGGTTTCAAAGATTCTTTGATGAATAGAACGTTTAAAACAGCCTTTATTTCAAATAGAAATCTTTTGTAACATCATAAATGTGTTTACTGTGGCTTCCAATCAATTTAATGTGTCTTTGATGAATAAAAGTAGCATATTAAAAGAAAAAACACTTTTGCACTAGTGCATTAATGTGCTTATATGGTTGTGACATCATAATCAAGATGATTTTAGCAGCTTTGAGGAGGAATGATGGGGTATGGCTTTTAATAATAATTTTTAAAACGTTTTTAGAATTTACTATTTCAAAAGACCAAAAAAAAATCACTTTAAGATTGTGTACTAAAATCTCGTTAAAGTAAATGTTTCGCTTACACTTGTTGAATTCCTCTAACGTGATTGGCTGACGGAATGATAACTTTATTTCAGTTATGTGCATGTATCATTCAATTCCTGGCAGGACGTCTTATAATTTTTTATTTGAATTATGTTTCCCTTAACATGTTCTGCTCAACTGTTTTAATGAGTTTTAGTTCTTTACTAATTCCAGAGGCCAAAACGACTTCCTATTAGGCCTAATGAGGAAGAGGTGTGAAATTTCTTCTTTTTCTGAGTCTCTTCTCTGTTCAGCAATGCTGCTGCTGATGTTTTAATAGTTTAATATAAAATACATTTTCATAGGCTCGGCGTCAATGCCCGTCACCCCGTCTTTCGCGTCTTATTGAACGTATCCATATTTCCTCCACTGGGGTTTGACCGAGGCTAATTAACTTCTCAAAAGATGAATATTGCATTGATTTCGAGCTCCGCTAACGAGGAGCTATAGTGTAGCGGGCTATTTGTTGTAAGTGGCAGCATGTTTTGTGTGGCGCGCTGTAACTGGGTAATGGGCTTAATTAAAATGAAAGCCTGCTGAATCGCTCCCGTTTACAAAGGCAGGGAGCCGGACCCCGTATCTGCTCGGAGACGCACACACGCCGTCTATAGCGAGACTCCGGCTCAAAAGAAGTTTAATGGATTGACCCCATATTGCTCCGTGCCGCCATGGCCCTCTCTTTCTCAGCTTCAGGAGAAAATGCTCCTTTATTGTTCGCGTTCCCTTAAGTGAGAGCAATTTAGCGCCAACAAAAGCTGCTTTTCATAATAAGAGTGCCTGAGGGCTGTGTGTGTGTGCGTGTTTGTATTTGTGTGCGTTCAGAAAGTGCTTGAAAACCCATTTTCCATTCATTCAGTCTTTATTGAGACTCCAAAGGTGCATCTCAGTGTTGCATTGGCAACTAGCTAAAATTTGTATTGGTTTTGAAAAATATGTTCACATTGTATTTATTATTTTTTATTAGTTATTTTAGTACTTCAAGTTAAGCTAAACAAAAATGAAACATGTTGCCTTGGCAACTAGCTGAAATTTGTATTAGTTATATATATATATATATATAAATCTGTTGCCTTGGCATATGGCTGAAATTTTTATTAGTTTTTTTATATGTCTTTATAGTTTTTCATTTTTTTGTATTATTTTTTTTTTGTAGTATTTTATTTACAATTTATAAATATGTCAATTTTATATAGAAGTAAAAGTAATGTAAATGTTTTTATAGTTTTAGTTAACGATAATAACCCTGCTGCCTCTCTCTAAAACTGCAGATGTGAAACTGTTGGAAAACCAGCCTTACGTGGAGAGTGTGTACGAGCAGGTGAACGCCGCGTTGTTGGAGTACACACTGTATGCGTATCCGCAATTCCCGGACCGGTTTACCCAGATTCTGCTGCGCCTTCCCGAGCTCAGAGCACTGAGCACACAAGCTGAAGACTACCTGTGCTACAAACACCTGAGCGGAGAGGTGCCATGCAACAACCTTCTCATAGAAATGCTGCATGCCAAGAGAACCTGCATCTGACACACACACACACACACACACACACACACACAGGCCCGATTCCTTTCGCAGATGACACTGTTATCGACTAGATGTTTTGCAGCAGTCGTCTTTCGCACACAGAAAACCTCATCAACCATGCCACTGTGTTTCTGAAAGGAAAGAGGGGAGATGTCAGTGTTAATGACTGTGTTTATGATATAGAGCGCTACCATGATTACCTATTTTTGTAGGCCAAACAGGAAGTTAGCATTACCCTGGTTCCTTTGACAAAAACCCAATAAGAATTTTTTAATTGGTTTTTGGATTATTGCAGAAAATAAGCTCTGTGAGCAATAAAGGCTCCTAATGCTTATACTTTTTGTGATAATCTTCACAAATGAACAACTTTTGAAGCCTAAATACAATCGGCGGAACTAAAAAGCTAAACACAGGCTGTAAACAAACTACACAACGGTCGCATGACTTCAACCTCACCACCATTAAGCTTCAAGACAACTCTTTCAGTGTTTATTTAAAGAACATTTTCCATGAGAGTTTAAGTTGGAATAGGTTGTAAGAGCACGGTTGTAAACACAATGAGGCTGTGAAAGCGACTAGTGAGTAGATGAGTTTTCCTGTTGAATGTGATGATGTTTAATGTTCCCAACATCCTCTTAGTACCATTTAGCCACCCATTAGCAACGCCTTTTTCTCAGTCAAGGAAAAGCCTTAAAAAAAAAACACAAGCATGTATTACTGTATTTTATGTTATAGAGTAAAACATGAAAATATCTTGAGCTTGTGTTAAACATAGACCTTATTTCAGGCATATTAACTAAAACCCATTCAAAAACCCATTGACTTCAGGGCGATGAAACCGGAAGTGCTATGTAAAATGCTCGTTTCCAGTTTTTTTTGGCCAACAAAAATACATTATCCCTTCAGCACTCTATTTAAAAAAGCAACAGATTGTGCCTTCCCTCTCTCATTACACACACACACACACACACACGCACGCACACACACACACGCACACCTTCTTTAAAAAAACACAGTCACAGACTCACAGCCATGATCCGCCCACTTAGACAGGAAACGGCGACATGTCCATCATGTATTTCAAGAAATATAAAACAAAGTCAGATGATTTCCTCAAGAGAGGCCAGTAAATGAGCTAAACAACCTTCATTAACATTCCCTTTTTAAGATTGAAAGCGAGAGGGAGAAAGAAAGAGGGAAGGCCTCACTCAACACGAAGCATTTCCTGCACACACATAATAGCTCTGCCATAAAACCTAGTGAGCTGCCTGCATAGACAGCATCATATACGCTTCTTAGAAAATGTAGTCTTACTATGTACGGCCAAGGCAACATCACCCGAAGGCAATCCCAGAATGCACAGTGGGAAAACGAGCATCCAAAATGGTGGATGAAGCAGGACTTAAGACTAAATACTAAGTATTTCATTCAATACTATACTGCTAATAGTCACATTTAAATAAAAAACAGCCTATTTTAACAGGTATTTGTGTGTTCTGTGTATTTTTTAAATTCAATTTGCATATTAATGTAAAATACATATATACTAGTTCAAAAGATTTTTAAATTATTCAACAAGCAAACCATTGATCAAAAGTGACATTTATAATGTTACAAAATATTTCAAATAAATGCTGTTCTTCTAAACTTTCTATTCATCAAAGAATCCTGAAAAGAAGGTATCAGTGTCTCCACATATGAAGCAGCGCACACTAAGAAATACGTTTCTTGGGCAAATCAGCATATTAGAAGGATTTCTGAAAGATCACGTGACCCTGAAAACTGGAGTAATGATGCTGAAAACTCATTAAAACATTTTCAAATATATTCAAATAGAAAATCATTATTTCAAATCATAATAATATTTCACAGTTTAATTGCATTTTTGATCAAATAAATGCAGGTAAGAGACTTCTTACGCTAAAAGCATTTAAAAAAATGTTACCAACCCCAAACATTTGAATGTAAATTATGAAAAATACATTGGCCTGTTTGAGTATCACATCGTCATTTTAGCAACATGCTAACACTAAACTCTATTGTGAGTCAAATCTAGCATATTTGTGTGCCACGCTGAACTGCTGTCTGTGTAGATGATTTCAAGTTATTCACTCATGCGGTGCAATGATGATTAGAGCACTGCCTACATAGGCATAAAAGTCAGTAGACAGCAAGGCAGTGCACTAGGTTTTGGAAAAGAGCTTGATAAAAAGTATTTATCAGACACTGCACACTAAAGTCCACGCATTATCACCACAAGATTGTATGTTTAAAATGACCTGAGTGTGTGTGCATATGCTGAGGAAAGGGGAGGTAAATTAGGACTTGCAATTCTGCCTTAACACTAACACTGTTGATCCTGTGAAGCTGAGAGAATCAATGGGCATAAATTGTGTCTCTGTTTGAGCGTGTAAGAGTGTTTGTGTGTGTGACTGTTATCTCAAGCTTAGGCCAAGCTTATTATGATATCTCAGCATGTTTCATTTTTGTATAGTGGAGTGTCTGATTGGTCAAGTTCTCTTTCATGTAACATGTTTGTGTTAATGACATTTGTTATGAATGTGCTTAACTGTATTGTTTCAAATGAATAAATACAAATTATTTAAACCAGCAGATATTAGTTTCCCTCAGTTATTTGTCTAAAGGTGTGGTCATGTTCAGTGTTGCTTGGCGAATTTTTGTGACTTTGGAGCACATCACTGTCGTAATTACGGATAGATGTGCGCGTGCCATTGTTGCCGTAAAGCAACCCGCCCTTTTCGCGGAATACCAAGAGAAAGAAACAGAAGCCATTCGCCATATTAGAAGTCAGTGGACCATCAGAATGATTTTGAAGCTAATATTTCAAGGTAACCTTACATACACATGATTAGTTAGCATTGGATAACAGTATAAAGCCATGTAGCATTTCAAACATAAAATGTAATTTATTTAAACCCACCAAACCACTTACTGTGAAAAGTGGACTTATGCCGTCTTTCTTTTTAAATAATAGTGCATGTTTTGATATTTTCTCATCTATTTCTTTTATCTAATGCGATCAGATTTAATTTTTAAGCATGACTTAACAGTCCAAATAGAAGAAAAATAGCAAATGATAACATGCACCATATTCCTACAATTAAAACCGGCTATTTCATTATTTCATGCAGTACAAAATAAATAAATAAATACAAATTAAAATTAAAATTGAAGAAGAAAAAAAAAACCTGAAAGAAATTGAGAAACACATCAATATAAAAACAATTTAAAAATAAATAAATACAAATAATAACAAATTGCCTTCACAGATTTTAATAGTATTAAAAAAATGAGAGTACAAAAAAAATGTCAAATATTATAAAATATCATAAAATAATGTAAAAATCATTCCTTTTCCAGAAACGTGAATATACAAATAAATATAATAAACACAAATAATAAAAATGGCCTTCTCATTGCCTGATTGCACTGATTTTGGATGAAAAGAAAAGAAAAAAAGAGAAAAATGCCAAATAATAACATGCATCATATTCATGAAAATACAAATCTAAGCAAAATAAGTACAAATAACTAATATATAATAATATATAAATAAGTACAAGTAACAAAACACATGGACTTAACAGATTACATGGTATTTAAATTTAAATAATATTAAGTAAAAATAATACGTTTATCAAATAAACAAATGCTAATAGAAATCCAAAGCAAAATACAATATTGCTTTATTTCCTTAATACTGCACTAAAATCTAAACAGAGTCTTTGCAAGAAGAGGAAGAAAATCAAAAAAAAAAAAAA